TGTGCCATGAGATATACTCCTATCAGAACGTGAGTTCAGCCATCTCAAAGAGTTTGCAGCTTAGTGCAGAGAACATGAGGAAAGCTGGTGAGCGTGCAGTCATGTCCTGAAATCTCTCAGAGCGTCAGGAATCAGATTACTGTATGGAAAACAAACAGAAAAAACAATAAAACTGAACTGAGTTTTGGGGAAAAGATGCCACCCCTAGAGACCTATAGATCAGGCTTCCCCTCAGCAGCAGGGGCCACGCATAGGTATGAGACAGGAATGCTATCTCCCCTGCCCATTCCGTCCTTGGCTTCTCTCCAGCAAGGGGGCATCTGGTGCCAGTTGTACTGTGGTTTTTAATCTGATTAAGGCACATGTCTACAAGGAGCTGGACAGAGCTGACTAGCTCCTTTGGCATGCTCTGCCAAACCGCCCACAGATAATAACTGCTTGGATTGCTGCTGGCTAGAGCTGGGCTTACACCAGTGACTCGGCGGGGAAAGGCTGCATCTGCCATTCCGAATCTGCAGAATGGTCCAGCCACCCAGAGGCGGGCTGGTATAATGCAGCAGCCACTGTGAAGACCCCTGGATGGTTTAGCGGCTCCCTTTGGCTTTTCTCCTCTTGCACTGAGTGATACTTCAGAGTGCTGCTATAACCACACCGCTCCGCCTGCTTTGAATCTCTACTCTGACTTCCCATTCTCCACCGCATCAGAGCCAAGCTTCTTGTCTCTCTTTAAGGCATTTTCATTATTCTGCCCATCCCTGATGGTCAGCTGTTGTAATGCCCTCCCCTCTGCTTTCCCAGTGGTCTTAGAATCCTAGAAATGTAAGGCTGAAGGGACTTTGAGAAGCTATCTAGTCCCGCCCCCTGCATGGAGGCAGGACCAAGTAAACCTAGACCATCCCTGACAAGTGTTTCTTCAGCCTGTTCTTAAAAATCTCCAGTGGCCCTCAGGGATTCCACAGCCTCCTTCCAAGCCTGTTCCAGAGCTTAACTGTCCTTTTAGTAGGATGGTGCAAGCTTTGAATGCCCATGGACAGCTCCATGCTTTCTTCCATGCTGCCCTTATGTATGGAATGCCCTCCTTATGCCAATCTGCAAAGCCACTACCCTCTCCTCTTTCACATCTCTCCTCAAGACCCATTTCTGCTATGACTCCTACAAGAAATCTGCTGGCCAGTGCTCGCCAGATGGGGAGAGAGGATTTATGTATTTAAAAACAAATCAATATGAAGAGATTTTGCAATGGCTAATGGTAATTACAGGATCTCATTTTTGTTACCTATGACAGGTACATTCATTGTACCTCATCTTAAATTCAGTTGTAAGATCGCTGGTGTAGGAACAGTGTCTTTCTACACGATCACTGCATTGCCAAGGGAATCTCACATCTTCATACATAGTGGCACGAGTGAGGTTCTTATTGGGTTCTCACAAAAACATTCCCTTTCGTTGGGGTCCTAATGGTTTGGCCCATCAGATGATGCTGTGCTGTGTCGGACATTGTTTTGTTTTCTAATTCAAGGGGAGAGTCTCTCTCAATTTTGCAGTTGCCTGAAAGGAGGATAGTAAGGCTCCAAAGAAGGAAGTGTCTAGCCTCCCTTTTTGGGGACCTAAAAGAGTAGAGGGGGCACGATCAGGTACTCGGAGGTGCAAGTACTCAGATTTGTGCTTCTGTTTCAGTTGTGGGGGCAAAGCATGAGGGCAGAGCAAAATTCACGACAATTTTTAGATGTGATTTTTCAAGGAAAAAAATCTCAAGCCGAACATTTTGCAAAACCAAACCCCATTTTCTTTGGCTGAAATAAGGAGAAAATGGAACAAAGCTGTGAAAGGAACAAGGCAGTGAAATGAGGGGAAACCAAAAAAAACCCAAAGAGAGTTCATTTGGGGAGCATTCAGTTTTTCTGTTGAATAATTGGAAAGTTTCAAGAAGACAAAAGTTTTGAATGAAAAGTTTTGACCAGCTCTGTTTGCAAGTACAATGACTTCTAAGAAAGAAGAGGAGGATGTGATTTGGAAAATATGGCCCTACATAGAGAGGTAGCTTTTTAAAGTGGTGGTGGACTGTGTTTCTGAGTGTCTGGGCCTTATTCTTATCTACCTTCATTTACTCAGGCACCACATGAGTGTAAAAGTGTTACCAGAAAAGAATGGTAGGGATTCGTCTCTGCTTTGCACTCGCATGAATGACTGCACAGGATGTCAGGCAGGAAAGGGTTAGTCCATTTATTCATGAAAGGCACCTATTAACTCCCACTGACTGCAGTCCCAGCTTTCCTTGGGTAAATGCTGTATAAAGCCAACTAAAGATTTCAGGAGTTTTAATGGTGAGAGTAATAAACTACTGGAAGTGCTTACCATGTGTGATGCTGGATTTTGCATCACTGGTCATTTTAAAATCAAGATGGGATGTTTCTCTAACAGATCTGCTCTAGGAATTATCCTGGAGAAGTTCTCTGGCCTGTGTTCTGCAGGAGGTTAGAGTAGAAGATCACAATGGTCTATGGAATCTATGAATCTATGATTTGTCCCAATGATTCTTAAGAGAAAAGGATATGGGCGTGTATCTCAGACATTGTGCTGATTATTATTTTAGCAAACTGTACTTCAGATTAGTTAAGTAAAACTTTAGGGGGGCGGGGGAGGTTAAAACTGAAAACTTTGTAGCCCGGAATAAAAGTGGAGAAGAAGCAATGCTTCAATATGAAAGAAAGTCTGAGTATTTTAAATGAGAGCAAAATAAAAAAGTGACTTATGGTGACAATTCAATGCAAGGTACAGCTATTCATTTTATGTGCAAAGACTAATTAAAATTAAAGTGCACCCCACTGCACTTTCTTTATTGCCTGTAACATACCAGACCCCTTAATAAAACCTAGAGCACAGGGTGTGCTGTAGGGATGTAAACTGGTAGTTAATGATGTAATATACAGTGTATTGCATTGCTTAGCCAAGCAGGTCAGCCTGGTAAAAGAACTCCGGAGATAGCTGCTCTGTTTGAAGCACCTGATTAATAACAATTGGGTTACACATGCAGAACAAGAGTACAGCCACTCTTAGCCTGTAGCTGATTAACAAATTTGAATTCCATGCACTTTAAGAAGAATAGAAAACCACTTAGAATATTGTCAGTTCCCCGGCCTGTTTTGTTTTAACTCTGTATACCTCTCTGATCATGCCAGATCTGATCATTCGTTATGTACGTTCAGCAGGCTGTAGTTCATCTATTTTTCTGTCCTGTCTGGTTCTGTTTCATTTCATAAAATGTTTTACAGCCCCGTGGAGGTGCAGTGTAAAAAGGAAACACAGACTCTTATTCCAGGATCACGTCATCACAGAAAGCAGAGAAGTGACCCATTAGGTCAGTTTTCCTAGATGCTGTTGACAACAGAGGTAGAAGGATATAAACAGTGATCCCATAAGGAAACTAAACTCATCATTAATATAATGTTATGTTGTTTTAAAGCTGTGTATTGGAACTGTACTTGTGTAAGTGGCACACTGTAGCTTGGTACTCCTGCTAGACTGTCTGTGGCATAGCTATTGGTATCTGTATTTTGAATGAAGTTAGGTATGTACCCAGATCTAGCATGTTGCCATGCCAATTTCATCATTGCTGACAGCACAATTCCTGAAGATCAGCAGCACTGATGTTCTGCAGAATGAGGTTTCATTTCCTGTGGGCTACTTTCCTTATGGCTTTCGTGGCCTGGATTTGGGATTGGATTTAATTAGTGTGAAATGTCAGGTCTACTTTGGGAGCTTGTGAGAATGCTGCAGGTAGGGAAAATGGATCAGTCAATTTGCCTGCGTGCGTGCGTGCGTGTGAGAGAGAGAGAGAATTTCATCTTACTGGATTCAACCCTGAAGTTTCAGAAAAAGTTAATTTGTTGTACGTTGATATATTTTCTGTCTCTGAGTTCAGAAAACTCTTGCTGCTGACCTTCTAATTTAATTATCTCATCTCCTTACATCTAATGGGCATGGACTCCAGGTAGATAAATAGGAAGGAGATGTAGGGAAAGGTTTTTTGTTTTAATTAGAAAAAATAATAATTTGATATGGAAAACCTGCATTTGAGATGCAAAAATTAAAATATGTGAATTTATAGATAAACAACATATTTAAAGGCAAGGAAGAGAATGAAAATGACTCCTGTGAAGGCACTGTTATTGAAGGCTTCTGGTGTGAATCTGTACATTGATAATTAATTAATTACACAGAAAGCCGGGGGAGACATCTTACCAGCAAGTGAAATGTTTATTCTTCATAACTACAAAGGCAGCCCCAAATTTGCAATGTGTTTCATGAAAGCAGTGTGGAGTATCCTTGAAGTCAGTTAGGCCCAGCCGCCTGTGCACACCATCGGCTGCAGGATCTGGACCTTAGAGGTAGATTTGGGTTAATGAAGTCAAATCTTTTATGCCAGGATTAGTAGTAACATGAGTCTCCTTCTCAACCTGGCCATCACTGGAAATACCTCTACTCCACTCGAGTTAGATTTAAGTTTGTAAATAAAGAGACTGAATGTTGGGAGCATGAATATCTGTTATATACTGTATCTAGCTAATATACAGTTCAGCTAAGAATGCTGAGTTCAGAAATGCAGACACGAGACATATTGCTAAGGACTTTTCATAGTAGAATCCATTCTTGAGTCATTCAAAGCATGGCAGTGTACGGGTTCTGTTTCATACCCCTACTTAAAAAATATTTAGGCCAAAATTTCAAAACTGGACGTTGATTTTGGATGCCCCAAGTTTTGGGGGTTCAACTTAAGACACCTTGAGGTCACGTCTGAAAATATTGCCCTTAATATGTAGAAAAGCAGATGGCTTATTCTTTTGAAGCTACAGAAGTCATTTTCATTATATTTCTTCTGGTCTGGTTATCAGATTTTTCTTCTCAACATGGGTAAACCTGGCATGCTACTCTAATAGATACACAAACATTGCATTCTAATCTGTTACATAAATCATTTTCTTTCTCTTTTTCTAATACAGTTCGATGTCTGTCCGCAGGTCAGGTTGCCCGGTAGGAAGCCATGCTTGGATATTAATAGCCATGTTTCAACTAGCCATGGATTTCACCATCTGTGAATCTGTAGTCCAAGGCCAAGGGTTTAGGCTCCTGCAAAGGCCTTCTCACTGGCATAGATTGTCCCATAGTCCTCTGTGGAGTTTTAAAAATGGACAGCAACTGAGGATTCCTGGCCCTTTTTGGAACCATGTTTCTTCTCATCCTGAACGATCTCATGGGCAAATACAAACATATCATTCAAAAAGGCCACACAAAGCCACAGACCAGTTAGCAGGCCTTCTTTATAAAAGCATGCAGTCCAAGCATTCCGCTACTGCAAAATCAGCCCCTTCTGTTGTAGATGGGAGCAGCAGGAGTACAGACCAGCAGACTCATTTGAAAAGGGGGAAAAGGCACCTCCGAGGAAGCAATTTTGATCACAGAGACAGCAGGCCCACCACGGTGCCTGAAGTAATTGTATGGGGCCCAACAGGGGAAGAGGACTCCATAGAAACCAGTACGTTCCCTGGGAATTATGGCACCACCACAACTTCTGCTTTACAAACCAGAACGACTACTGTGGCAACCACCACCACCACTACTTCCACCACTGTACAGTCTAAGGGGTTCACAGCATCACCTGTGCCAGGGCTTAACACACACAAGAACAACCCTGGCAGGATTAGCACAACGGAACCCTACACCAGCCACAAGAGCAATGGAAAAGAAGCCCGTCCACCTAAGATAATGGGAGACACTACAGGTATTTTCTGTCTGTTTACAGGGTTTTGTTTTAACTGTTGATCGGGCCGAGTAAGAGCAAAGAACCTATTGCCGAGGGCAGAGGTGTATCCTATATGATGGGCACCAATGAGGAGACTGTAGTGTGGGCCAATGCCACAATATAAACAAGGTGCAGTGTGTGACGAAGGCTTCATATTGTGTTTGCTTTGCCAGGCTGCAATCATCATTAAGGAGTAATAAAAGAGAACATTACAGTATAATGTCCAGGTTTCAAAACAGTGAAGCAATTTTCAGTTAGGGAAAGGTGGGTGAACAGCTTTGGATAAAATGAAAACTGATCTGAATTTTTATCTGAAATTCAGATCAAACTTTTTTTTGTGATTTGCAAAACATTTGTTTAATCTTTCTATTGTATTTCAATCTTCCTCTGCCTTCTTGGGTTCCCCAGGAATATAGCAGTATTTTGGGCCTAATCAGCAACAGGAAATCTCACTGGAAAGAACTTCACTTCTTCGGATGCAAGTGAGGTTTTTACCCACGAAAGCTTATGCCCAAATAAATCTGTTAGTCTTTAAGGTGCCACCAGTCTCATTGTTGTTTTTGTAGATACAGACTAACACAGCTACCCCCTGATACTTCACTGGAAAGACTATCCCAACAAGATTTGCAGCCTGGTTTTGCAAACTCAAGAAGCGTCCAGATTTTGGGGTGTTTGTCCAACAAAATATTTTGCTGCTCACATATTTCTTTCTAGTCCCTTTCATACAATATGTCACTAATCATCTACACACTATGGTTGCTAGGTCTGAACTGCAGACAGATTCTATATGCAACATGCAAGTCTTAACAATCCCTGAAAAGTGTAATAATAATCAGTGTATTAATGTGGCACTCTGGCACAGTACAATATGCAAACAACATAGATTGTTAGCATTTCAGCTTTGGTGACTGCAGAGAAAACAATGAGTGTGGTTTTCACTATTCTTTCCTTAATTTAGATGCAGTTTTTCATTACACAGAGGCATTCAGCAACGCCTGCTGAAGTCATTCTCATAATTGTTTTCTGCGTTACAATAGTACTTATTTCTCATGCAGACTGGACACAAAGGTTACTTTAGTGCAATTTGAGTTGGGAGAATGCTGCTAAAGAAATCACAAACCTTTGTTTTAATGAGAGCTATCGATTCCTTTCATTTCTATTCAGGACTCTTCTCATTTGTTCTTCACGAACATTTGTTGAGTGAGTTTGTGTTTGCAAGAATGTTCTCAGTTAGAGAACGTGCTGTAAGTATCCATGTTGTGATACATACGTATGGATGTCCATGATAAATGTGTGCAGGCCATCTCAGAAGCTCTTTTTGGCCTCAGGAGTAGAAACAACTTCACTTGACTTAGGTGATCAGACACACCAAGTTCTGAATACGCAAATGAAACAGTCGCATTGAGCAATCCATGTGCTGAAGCGTGTTCACTTACAACATTCCTCAAGTTATTGTGATTAATTAATGTATTGGTAAAAAATCTGCAAAAAAAAAAAAATCTACAAAAAAACCCATGTTCTTATGTTCTAATTTCTTACTAGAATCAGGGGATAAATCCTTCATTAAACTGTTCACTGTGACTAGTTTGTTCAGAGTAATTCAGGCTCACCGTCAGAGTCTCCATCTAGCCTCTGCCAGGGGCTGTGGGCTTGCAACATCTCACTGATTTAGTTGGTTTCTGATCAGACTGCAGTGTAAGTGTTAGCCTGGGATCTCAAATGCTCCCGATTCTCTTCAGCATCATGTACAGTGTATGATATTAAAAATAAAAACAACCCATCAGCGCAGAACTTTGGATTACCTAGCGCCCCTGAGGAAGCTAGTAATGGGGTCAGGCTACAGGCATGGAGCATTGATTAGTCCTTAGTACTGGGACACAGCAGCTAGCAATAGGGGGTCCTGGTCCATGACTCTTGGTGCTACCTCAGTACAAGTAAATAATTTTAAAGCAACCACCCTGGGGTTGTGTTAGAGGCAAGGTCTTCTGTCGGGTAAGAATGTTGCAGAAAATGGAGAGGAATTGGGCATTAAAAAATGAACACTAGATAAGCAAATGAGAACTCTGATCCATCATCTTTATGTAAGACATTTGCTAGGAGTGTACAGAGAGTTTGCCTATTGCCTCTATAAATCCACAAGCTTAATCAAATTCGGTGCAGCACTCATTTACTATAGTATTTAGTAATATTTAGGAAAATATACTATTTTCCACCGACACCATTTGCTGTGTGGGTATGGGTGGGAAAGCAGTTTTCATTTATTCCAAATTATATTTATTTATTACTAAAGTTATCCTGTGGGACAATATTATGTAGCTTGGCAAATTAATTCACATTACATTGACGGTGAGTAGTCCAATAAGTCAGATGCTTATCTGAGAAAGAATTATGGGGTTTCATAATGCAATCTCCATCCTGATTAATTTCTCTAATAAACCCTCTTCAGAAAAAAATGTCACTCCTAACTTCAAGAAGTTATTCATATCCGTGAAAAGGAGCCCAGCCTACACAGCAGTGGAATTGTCAGCCTCAGCTGGCTCAGTTAGAGACAGAATATCAATCACACTTTCCAGCATAAGAAATCTAATCAGTTCATATTAAGACATTTGATGGAATGTTAAGATTTACTTCCAAACCACGTGTTGTTTTCAAAGCAGATAGTATCAAGTCCTATTGTTATTAGCAATACTTACATCTGTAGCTAACTACATTTGTACACACGCATCTGAAATCATATTGGTGCCTTCCAGACATATTTGCACTGAGCAAATTCCTGTTTATTGCTGTGACTTAATTACAAATGGTATAACACTCTCAAAGTATTACAGGGTATTGTTCAGCTGCTGGGATATCAGAGGAATGAGTCAGAGGAGAGTGTTCCTCACCCTGGACAGATGACAGACTTTTTGTCTAAAATGTGACTCATCATTCATTATCCCTGTAATGTCAAGGTTCATTGACTGTGTTGCCAGTGAGTGGTCCTGTATCTGGGACACCGCTCTGTGATCTAGGCACATTACCTAGGTCAGTAGCTTGCGTCTGAGTCGTTGCCTTCTCCTCTAGTCTTTATATCAGGTAGCCAATGTTATGATATTTCAGAATTGCCCAAGGTTTACTGAGTAGTTTGAAGATAATACTGGCAGTTTGGTAAGGGTATCTGACAGATATATATCACTATTCAGGGGAACATTGCAATGTGTTTCTACTTGAGCTATCAAATGACTACTGATAATTGTCAGTGAACAAACTGGCCTTCAGCAGATTTCTCTCCTGCCCACTAGGATGACAGAGAAATGATCTCAATAGATCCAGTAGAATGTAGGATTGGGATATTGAGGGGGTGTTTTTATTTGCTTTTCTCACCATTGTACGTTTGGTTGAGTTGCTCTGTTCAGTACACTGACTTCTGCAGAGCCACTCCACAATGAATTTGCTCTCCTGGTTTGGCTCAGAAGTGCCCACAGTGATTGTAGCAAAGTCTTAAATTTGTACTGGTGATTGACCTCCAGAGGTTCAGTCTGGAAGTGTTGTCCACCATTAGACAGTAGCTGGAGCAGGCCTCTAGAAGGATTCCTGAGTTTGGTTCCTGGCTCGGACGCTGACTGGGTCTGTTAAATTGAGGAAATAACATAACCACTCAGTACTGCAGTTTACCCATCTGTAAAGGGTGGTGTCATGGGGTGCTCTACTCACCAATGGAGGGCTTCCTTCTGGCAGTTCTGGGGATTAGCTCCACCCAGTTCAGCACCCCGGTTCTCTTCCATCGTTGCCGCTCTCCTCCTGCTCATGGAGACATAGTTCAGCCATTTCGTGACTTAGCCCTTCAGCCAGGTCACTCTGTGTTTTTCCCTTCTAGGAGTCTTTCAAAGACCCTCTGCACCAGGGCTCCTACCCCCTTTCTTTCTCCCTTACCTCAGGGAGAGAGACTGCAGGCTTCTTCCCTCCTGCCTCCTACACTATCACCAGCCTCTTGGCTTGATAGGAGCCCTGCCTGTTCCCTCACAGATGAGCTTCCTACTAATTAGCGCCCTCCACACAGCCTAAATCTCCCCCATTTGCAGATTAATTGGTTGATTGGGCCCACCTGGCCTTATTCAACTCTCTCAGGGCGGGTGTAGGGAGCACACCCCGTCACAGGTGCACACTGAGACTTTCTGACTATCAGACCCCTTTCAGATCTCTCAAGTCGGGCTCCCAAAACTTGAGGCACCTAAAATCAATAGTCACTTCTATAAACGTAGGCTAGAATTCTAGTGGCTCTGCAGTTGTGTGTGAGGCATGTTTAACTGCTGTACGGTTAGGCCCTACAATATACAACACACAAGGAGACAAACATAGGCAGGTTCTAATGAAAGAAAACCCTTTGATCTTCATAGCTATTCATAGTTTGTTCTCCAGCTCAGATCAATCAAAACTCAAGGATGAGATAGCACGGACCTAGATGGAACAATGCTTTGTAATTTTTATTTTTGTACTGGAATTCGCTTACTCCTTTTCAAGGATGTTCCTCCATCTGCTTTGTCCTTGTCAGCATGACGCCTCTAACATCCTTTACCGTGTTGACGTGCTGACAGTCACAAAGTTTTGCTGCGGTCTGACTGATGTGGCTCTTGCTGGGATTTTTACCATTTGTGGGTGTCTGAACAGCTTCCTAACCTCAGTTTTGCAGTCCAGCTGTGAGAGCTGGACGCTGTTCTAATGAGAATCACAAATGAAAGGGCAAGAAGGTGCATCTCCTGAACCCTACATTCGGGGTTTAAATCCATGGTTGATAGTCACCCAGGGCTGAGTCCTTGCCAAACTGAGTATCCCTCCTCCAGCTGCTTGAGGCTACAGTCGCCAGGTTGTTCCTGCGGGCTCCGCAGGGGACAGTGATTCACAGAATGCTAGTGGATCTGCACAGATCAACAGGCCTTCATCCTGCCCGGTCTCCACGTAGCCTGTGCTGAGAGATTCAAGATCCAAGCCAGCCTCTCCCA